AGAGGGGACACAGAGGGGACACAGAGGGGACTCTGTCCCCTCCACACTCACCTCTATCCGGCTCTTCGCCCACCTCCTGCCGATAATACTCGGCATCGCTCTCCTCCGACTGCTCCAGCTCCTCGGCAGCACCAGGATCCTCGGCGTCACTGTCACCATCTCCCTGATGTTTTTTTCGGATCCCTGCCAAACTTTTCTCCCTGTGGCATCACCGTGGGTGGTGTCAGCCACCAGCACCGCAGCTGTCCCCAGACACTGTCACCACTGTCACCCCCCCATGTCACCTGTGAGCCTCACGCTGCTGCCGCTTGCGCTTCACGTCCTCCTCCTGCTTCTGCCGTCGCTCTGCTTTCAGCTTCAGCTTGGCTTCTTTCCGTGCCAGGATCTCCTTCACCTCCATCTCTGTCTTGTGGACTTCATGAGGGGACAGAGGGGACAGAGAATGAGGTGACATGTCCCCACACGAGCCCCACGCCCTGGTGGCATTTCACAGCGCTTACCCAAGCTGTGGTAGAGCACGTTGCCCTGGGCCAGACCCTCCTCCACCTTGATGAGCTGCAGAGTCATACGAGGTCCAATCTATAGGTGTGGAAAACTCTCAGGTCAGGCTCCACCATGTCCCCAAAGGTGATGACAGTTTTGGTGTCACCATCACAGACCTCGGTGAGGCGCACGGCACTCTGCTGAGCTTTCATGTTGCCGCGGCCGGCGTACGCCTGCGGCAGCTCCAGGATGTTGTGGGTCCCATCCTGCTCAGCTTCACTCTCTGACAGGTTGATGTCCCTGGCCAAGGGATGGGGACATGGTTATTTGGGGACAGGAAGGTGTTTTTGGGGACAGAAAGGTGCTGCTGGGGACCATTGTCCCCTCTATTCCCCACCCACGTACTTCACCAGCAGCTCGCTGATGTCTTCCAAGCGACTCATGTTGGGGAATTTCTCCTGGAGAAGTTTCTTCAGCCCTTTGCTCACACCCACGGGCACGACCTTGACGCTGCTGTGAGGAGGAAGAGGAGGAGGAAGAGGAGGAGGAAGAGGAGGAGGAAGAGGAGGAGGAAGAGGAAGAGCACGGGGATGTGGGGTGCAAGGTGTGACCCTCAAAACCAGGGGGCAGGACACTCACTAATGCCTGAAGTCGAGGAGCTGCGTCTGGGGGTCGTAGTTGATGAGCAAACACCTCTTGATGTTGTTGAGGTTGACCTGGGGGAGGAGGAGGAAGAGGAGGAAGAAGAGGAAG